GAAAATTACTTTGTGTGCACGTGCACATGTGAGCTTGTGTCGATCACATTTTTTGTCTTGTTTACGTTTTGCTTTTGCATCATGGTGTTTTTATTTGAAGGACAAACATGAAAGTATCAGTGAAAAGAATCAGTTGAGTCACTCAGTGTGTCTGACTCTTTATGACCCCATGGGCAGCAGCACACCAGGCTTCCCTGTCCGTCACGAACTCCCAGAGCTTACAAGCTCATGGCCATCAAGTCAGTGATGCCATCCAACCATCTCTTCCTCTGTCGTCCTCTTCTCCTCCTGCCTTCAATCTTTCCCAGCATCAGGGTCTTTTCCAGTGAGTCAGTTCTTCGCATCATGTAGCCAAAGTATTGGAGTTTCAGCTTCAGCATCAGTCCTTCTGATGACTATTCAGGACTGATTTCCTTTACAATTGACTGGTTTGATCTTCTTGAGTCCAAGGTGCTCTTAAGAGTCTCCTCCAACACCATAGTTCAAAAGCATCAATTCTTCAGCGCTCAGCTTTCTTTATAGTCCATCTCTCACCTCCATACATGACTACTGGAAAAACCATAGCTTTGACTAGATGGACCTTTGTTGACAGAGTAATGTCTCTGCTTTTTAATATGCTGTCTAGGTTGGTCATAACTTTCCTTCCAAGGAGTAAGCGTCTTTTAATTTCATGGCTGCAGTCCCCATCTGCAGTGATTTTGGAGTTCAAAACAATAAAAGTCTCTCACTATTTTCGTTGTTTCCCCATCTATTTGCCATGAAGTGATGGGACCAGATGCCATCATCTTAGTTTTCTGAATGTTGAGTTTTAAGTTAGCTTTTTTCGCACTCCTCTTTCACTTTCATCAAGAGGCTCTTTAGTTCCTTTTCACTTTCTGCCTTAAGGGTGGTGTCATTTGTGTTATCTGAGGTTATTGATATTTCTCCCAGCAATCTTGATTCCAGCTGTGATTCATCCAGCCTGGCATTTCACATGATGTACTCTGCATGTAAGTTAAATAAGCAGGGTGAGACTATACAGTCTTGGTGTACTCCTTTTCCTATTGGGAACCAGTCTGCTTTTCCATGTCCATTTCTAACTGTTGTTTCTTGACCTGCATACAGATTTCTCAGGAGGTGGTTAAGGTGGTCTGGTATTCCCATCTCTTTAAGAATTTTCCACAGTTTGTTGTGATCCACACAGTCAAAGGCTTTGGCGTAGTCAATAAAGCATAAGTAGATGTTTTTCTGGAACTCTCTTGCTTTTTCTGTGATCCAGCGGATGTTGGCAATTTGATCTCTGGATCCTCTGCCTTTTTTAAATCCAGCATGAACATGTGGAAGTTCACGGTTCATATATTGCTGAGGCCTGACTTGGAGAATTTTGAGCATTACTTTGCTAGCATGTAAGATGAGTGTGATTGTGCAGTAGTTTGAACATTCTTTGACTTTGCCTTTCTTTGGGATTGGAATGAAAACTGACCTTTTCCAGTCCCGTGGCCACTGCTGAGTTTTCCAAATTTGCTGGTATATTGAGTGTGACACTTTCACAGCATCATCTTTTAGGACTTGAAATATCTCAGCTGGAATTCCACCAGCTTTATTCATAGTGATGCTTCCTAAGGCCCACTTTACTTGGTATTCCAGGATGTCTGGTTCTAGGTGAGTGATCACACCCTTGTTGTTATCTGGGTCATGAAGATCTTTTTTGTATAGTTCTTCTGTGTATTCTTGCCACCTCTGCTTAATATCTTCTGCTTCTGTTAGGTCAGTACCATTTTTGTCTTTATTGTGCCCATCTTTGCATGAAATTTTCCTTTGGTATCTCTGATTTTCTTGAAGAGATCTCTGGAATTTCCCATTCTATTGTTTTCCTCTGTTTCTTTGCATTTATCACTGAGTAAAGTTTTCTTATCTCTCCTTGCTATTCTTTGGAACTCTACGTTCAAATGGGTATATCTTTCCTTTTCTCCTTGCTTTTTGCTCCTCTTCTTTTCACAGCTATTTGTAAGGCTTCCTCAGACAACCATTTTACCCTTTTTGCATTTCTTTTCTTGGAGATGGTCTTGATCCCTGCCTCCTATATCAATGTCATGAACCTCAGTCCGAAGTTCATCAAGCACTCTATCAGATCTAATGCCTTGAATCTATTTGCCACTTCCAGTGTATAATTGTAAGCGATTTGATTTAGGTCATACTTGAATGGTCTGGTGGTTTTCCCTACTTTCAGTCTGAATTTGGCAATAAGGAGTTCATGATCTGAGCCACAGTCAGCTCCCAGTCTTGTTTTTGCTGACTGTATACAGCTTCTCCATCTTCAGCTACAAAGAGTATAATCAGTCTGATTTCAGTACTGACCATCTGGTAATGTCCATGTGTAGAGTCTTCTCTTGTGTTGTTGGAAGAGGGTGTTTGCTATGACCAGTGCGTTCTCTTGGCAAAACTCTGTTAGCCTTTGCCCTGCTTCATTCTGTACTCAAGGCCAAATATGCCTGTTACTCCAGGTATGTCTTGACTTTCTACTTTGGCATTCCAGTCCCCTATAATGGAAAGGACATCTTTTTTTGGTGTTAGTTCTTGAAGGTCTTGTAGGTCTTCATAGAAGCATTCAACTTCAGCTTCTTCAGCATTTCCGGTCAGGGCATAGACTTGGATTACTGTCATGTTGAATGGTTTGCCGTGGAAATGAACAGAGATCATTCTGTCATTTTTGAGTTTGCATCCAAGTACTGCATTTTGGACTTTCTTGTTGACTATGAGAGCTACTCCATTTCTTCTTAGGGATTCTTGCCCACAGTAGTAGATATAATGGTCATCTGAGTTAAATTCACCCATCCAGTCCATTTTAGTTCACTGATTCCTAAAATGTCGATGTTCACTCTTGCCATCTCCGGTTTGACCACTTCTAATTTACCTTGATTCATGGACTTAACATTCCAGGTTCCTATGCAGTATTGCTCTTTACAGGATCGGACTTTACTTCCATCACCAGTCACAGCCACAACTGGGCGTTGTGTTTGCTTTGTCTCCATCTCTTCATTCTTTCTCGGGTTTTTTCTCCACTGATCTCTACTAGCATATTGGGCATCTACTGACATGGGGAGTTCATCTTTCAGTGTCCTATCATTTTACCTTTTCACACTGTTCATGGGGTTCTCAAGGCAAGAATACTGAAGTGGTTAGCCATTCCCTTCTCCAGTGGGCCATGTTTTGTCAGAACTCTCCACCATGACCCATTTGTCTTGTGTTGGCCCTACACGGCATGGCTCATAGTTTTATTGAGTTAGACATGGCTATGGTCCATGTGATCAGTTTGATTACTTTTCTGTGATTATTCACTGTATATAAAAGTATACAGTAAATAAATAGGGGGTAGACTTCATCTTTGAATGATTGTTTTATGTACCAGAGTTTGTAAGAATGGTCAAACTGGTCAGCATATGGGTGCAGTTAATACTCTACCCAATCAGTTGTGATGAAAGAATCCTGTGTAGACTTTAGAAGTCCATGTGTGTTCTATAATCAGTCTTGCATTGTCCAGGTTGTCTCCGGTACACAATACAATGGGCTTCCCTGGTGGCTCAGTGGTAAAGAACCTACCTGCCAATGCAGGAGATGTGAGTTTGATCCCTGGGTTGGGAAAATCCCCTGGAGGACATGGCAACCCACTCAGTATGCTTGCCCAGAAAATCCCATGGACAGAGGAGCCTGGTGGGCTATAGTCATGAGGTTGCAAAAGAGTCGGACGTGACTTAACAAATAGACAACAACAACAAAACAATACAACAGATGTGCGGCACCCACCATTGGTTTTGGAGTTTAAAGCAAGATAGGGCTTCCCTGATAGCTCAGTTGGTAAAGAATCTGCCTGCAATGCAAGAGACCCCAGTTCAATCTCTGGGTTGGGAAGATCCCCTGGAGAAGGGAAAGGCTACCCACTCTAGTATTCTGGCCTGGAGAATTCCATGGACTGTGTAGTCCATGGGGTCGCAGAGTTGGACATGACTGAGTGACTTTCACTTTTAGGCTGTCAAACAAGCAAAGCAGTTGTAATTTATTTATTTAACTTTTTTTTCCTTTTGCCTGCTCCCTGCTGCATGAAGGATCTTAGTTATCCAACCAGGGATTGAACCTGTGCCCCCTGCAGTGGAAGTGTGGTGTCTTAACCACTGAACAGCCAAGGAAGTCCCAAACCAGTTGTATTTTAAATCTGAGAGGGTTTGTTTTCCTAAAGATCAGAGGAGTGCTATTTATATATCTCAGTTGAGAAGGGATCGTGCCTAAGAATATTTTTCAGACTATCCTGAGAAGTTGTGTGTCAGTCTCTGAACAAATGTACAGACTATATGATGAATTTTGTGACAACACTTAAATTGAAGAGCTTTATTAGGAAGCTTTGAACTATATCCCATGGTCCCTTGAATATATTATACAGTGAAATCAAATTACTTTCTGAAAGGTTGGTCAGCCAGCTTCTTAACTGTTACTGCTTTTGTATCAGTGGGAGAAAAGTGAACTGAAAATGTTATCATTTCTGTGATTCCCATAGGATGGTTAGTACTTGAACGAATGTCTTTTAGGAACATCAAATGTCAATTGTCAAAATAATTTGCTACCATTAAAAATAGGTGAGATTTCCCAAGTGGCGCTAGTGGCCAAGAACCCTCCAGCCAGTGCAGGAGACATAAGAGACATGGGTTCAATCCCTGGGTTGGGAAGATTCCCTGGAGGAGGAAATGGCAACCCACTCTAGTATTCTTGCCTGGAGAATCCCACTGACAGAGGAGCCTGGTGGGCTATAGTCCTTAGGGTCCAAGAGTCTGTCACGACTGAAGCGACCTAGCACAAAAATAAGTAGGTGGCATGAAAGAAATTTAAGTGTTCTCTGCAGTCTGAGTTTTGGTGATGGATTCAGGATCCTTTCGCTGGTATTGTACTGAGATTGTATTGCAGGTTGGGAAACGGTCGGTGGAAACTGTTCATTGCCCATAATTAAGCTGTGAATTCATTCACCCCCCCAGGTATTCACGTACAAGCAGAGCACAGTCACACACCAGAAGGTGATGCCCATGCACCCCATGGATGAGGAGGGCGTGGATGACATGGCCACGCTGACGGAGCTCCACGGGGGTGCCATCATGCACAACTTGTACCAGCGATACAAGAGAAACCAAATCTATGTAAGTTGCGCTCTCGGTCCCTTCAAGATCCTTCCACTCTTTTCCTTCCTCTTGCTGCGTCACACGGCATACAGGATCTTAGTCTCCCGGCTAGGGATCAAATCCATTCCCCCTGCAGTGAAAACGTGGCGTCTTAACCACTGAACCACCGCGGAAGTTTCCAAACTCCCTCCAGTTTGAGTCTGTTTATTTTTGTTTTCAGAGAGTATTTCCTTTTTGAGAACCTCCTGTTCATCTAAGTAAAAGCTATATTTCTAGTTTGGGGTTGGTTTTTTTTTTTTTTTTTGCCAAATTAGAGATGTGGGTCCATAAATCATGTTCTCGTGTTGATTGCCTGGACTTTATTAGTAGCAAAGGGTGATTTGACCTCTTTCTTCTCCTGAGTGCATTCTGTTCCTAAGTGTTCTGTTCCTTGAAGAAGTCACGCAGAGTGGTTTGACTTCCTCAGTTAAGGCTGGGAAGAAATGTGGCTTTGCAAACAAGCAGACCTGAGCTCAAGCTTTTTTTTTTCTTCTCATTTTCTTGTTTTTTTTTCCCCCTTTTATGGATTTTCACTTTTTTTTTCTTCTGGCTCTGAGGCCTATCTATCTACAGAGATGTTTCTTTTTATATATATAATTTTTAAAGGTTACATTCTATTTACAATTATCGCAAAATATTAGCAATATTCTCCATGTTATGCAGTACATCCTTGCATCTGTCTTGTACTTCCCTCTCCTCCACCCCTATGTTGCCCCCCTTCCCTCGTCCCTGGTAATCACTTGTTTCTTCTATCTGTGAGTCTGCTGCTTTTAGGTTACACTCACAAGTTCATTGTATTTTTTAGATTCCACATATAAGTAATATCACACATTTGTCTGCCTTACTTCACTTAGCACAATGCTCTCCAAGTCCTTTCATGTTCTGCAAAGGCAAAATTTCATTCTTTTTATGGCTGAGTGATATTCCATTTTGTATATGTGTATATGTATGTGTGTAAATATCATATCCTCTTTGTCCATTCATCTCTTGGTGGACACAGGTTCCTTCCATATCTTAACAATTGTAAGTAATGCTGCTGTGAACTTTGGGGCGCATGCATCTTTTTGAATTAGTGTTTTCATTTTTTTTCCCAGAGATATACCCAGGAGTGGAATTGCTGAGTCATGTGGTAGCTCTGTTTTTAGTTTTCTGAGGAATCTCCATACTATTTTCCATAGTGGCTGCACCGATGTACATTCCCACCAGCATGTAGGAAAGTTCCATCTAGGGGACATTTGGGTTCAAGGGAACCCGTCTCATTTGTGGGATTGCTCTTTTGATTGGAGACACGTCCTTGTATAAAAAACAGTCATGCACATTTCTCCTCAACTTTTATGAACTCTGTGCCTGTATTATAAAAGTAATACCCGAAAATCACTACTGTAGTCATCCCTTTCTGACATTAAAGTATAAATTACGTCATCTCTCCAGAATGATTTGCAGACTTTCTCCTTTCCACCTGCCTTTGTTAGCAGGTCTTTACTGGGCAACTGCTGATAGGTGTTTATTTTTCTTGTCAAGTTCAAATTCATGCAGTTTTTTTAAAAACCCAAATTTTAATGTTGTAAAAACCCTTCATCTTTCAGTAGTTTTTGTTCTTTAGGAGTTAACGCTCAGTTTTGGTGGTATGCCTGTGATTATGATGAATAATAATATCAGCTTTTCCAATAGCTAGGCTTCCCTGATGGTTCAGTTGGTAAAAAATCCACCTGCAATGCAGGAGACCCCGGTTTGATTCCTGGGTCCAGAAGATCCGCTGGAGAAGGGATAGGCTACCCACTCCAGTATTCTTGGGCTTACCATGTGGTTCAGCTGGTAAAGAATCCACCCGCAATGCAGGAGACCTGAGTTCCATCCTTGGGTTGGGAAGATCCTCGAGAGAAGGGAAAGGCTACCTACTCTAGCATTCCGGCCTGGAGAATTCTGGACTGTATAGTCCATGGGGTCGCAGAGTTGGACATGACTGAGCGACTTTCACTTTCACTTTCAATAGCTAGCAGGTGCTAACTGAAACTCAAGATCCTCTCAGTATTGTGGTTGCTCTAGTTTATCCAACCTTAGACCAGGAGAGGAGAATTGGGAAATAGGGAAGAATTAGATATTTGTGGACTTAATGCAAAATTTTCCTCAGCTTCAAGAAAAGAAGGTGTTTATTTGCCTTCTTTTAATAATAATGGGAAAGTGGCATTTTTGCCAGATTGACCTAGTGCTTGGCAAATATCTTCAGACAGCCTTGTATAGGGAAATTGAGTCGCCTTCTAGCCCTCTGACTAGCCTTGCTTACACTCAGCCCTTAGAGACAGCATTTTCCGTATGTTCTTCAGAAAAGGTAATGTTCATACATGTTTCTGTAAAAGTGGCTGTGTATCCTAATTTGTGCATGTGCTTGTTGAACAAACGTGGGCTTTCTCCTGTTCCCATCTCAAAACAGCTTCCTTCCCACCTACACAGGTGTCCGGGGAAGCATGTGCCTTGGCTGTGCTTTCAGCATTGAGTCTTTGACACGACTGTGTGATTTGTTTACAGAGCCGTTTCCTTGCTCAGTTCGTCAAGGACTGACTGTGTCTCTCTTGAGCCAAGGGCAGTGTCGGGCACCTGACAGTTGTGCCATATGTAAAACAGATGCCATTCATGTTAGAAGTGACATAGTTGGTGATAAAAGTGAAGCTGGGTTTAAAATTTCTTTATTGGTACCTATCTCTTATAAATGAATATTTCAGAATTCATATCCTTCTGTTTTTAGATGTAAGTTTTTGTTATACATTTAACAGTCAAGAAAAAGTCAGTTAGGGGGAGAACTACTGAAGAAGGTTAAAGGACAGAGCCTTTTAAAGCTCCCCTCCACCATGATGGTGATGTGAACCTACAGCTAAATAGCCCAATAAACCATATGAATAGGATCTCGATTTTTTTTTGCCCCTGGAATGAAGATCTTTTCTCTCCCCTTTGAGGGAAAAACACAGGATTTTTGTACATCCAATTTACAGCTCAGGTCAGTTAATTGTACCCTATATGCCTTCCTTTTAGAACCTAGATAATTGTATTGTTATACATAAAGCAGCTATCTTGGATGTTCATTACTGAAGCTGTTTTTAGTGGATGCTGGTACCTGTCAGACACTACTCCAAGGAGACAAAACCACCACCTGTTAGAAAAGCACAGCTTTCCACCTTTATCCCAGCCCTGAGTGATGCTTGTCCATATTTTAAAAGGGGAAAAAATGGCTTGACTTGTTACAGAGGTGCTGTGTTAGTTTTCTTTTGCTGGCATAACAAATTACCATAGCTATGAATTTTTTTGCAATTTTGTAGGTTAGTGTGAAGGGGTCTTACCAGGCTAAAATCCAGGTGTGGGCATGCTAGGCTTCTTTCTGGAGCCTCTAGGGAAGAATCTGTTTCTTGCTGTTTCCCAGTATTGGCACAGTTCAGTTCCTTGTGGTTGTAGGCCCAAAGTCCTCATTTTCTTGCTGGCTGGCTGCTGATTCCCAGCTGGTAGAGGCCTGCTTCCTTCACATTCAAAGACAGCAACCCTGGACCTAGTCCTTCTCATGCTTCAAATCTCTTCCTCCTTTCATCTGATCTCTGACCAGAGCCAAGAGAAGTTCTCAGGTTTTAAAATTCATGCAGTTAGATAAGGCTTACCTGGGTTAATTCCCAGTCTCAGAGCTTACAACCGTAATCATATCTTGAGTGTCTTATGTGCAACATCACTTAAGTCACAGGTCCTGGGAACTAGGTGAACATCTTGGTGGGGCTCAGTCCTGTCTGACTCTTTTCGACCCCATGGACTATACAGTCCATGGAATTCTCCAGGCCAGAATACTGGAGTGGGTAGCCTTTTCTTTCTCCAGGGCATCTTCCCAAGGGCTTCCCAGGTGGCGCTAGTGGTAAAGAACCTGCCTGCCAGTGCAGGAGATGTAAGAGATGTGGGTTCGATCCCTGGGTTGGGAAGATCCCCTGGAGGAGGAAATGGCAACCCACTCCAGTGTTCTTGCCTGGAAAATGCCATGGACGGAGGAGCCTGGTGGGCTACAGTCCGTGGGGTCGAAAAGAGTCAGACACGACTGAGCGATTAACACTACTACTCCTTGGTGGGGCAGAGAGGGGTGCATTACTCTGCCTGCCATCGTTTGAGCCCTGTCACTGAGAAGGAGCCTGTGTGTGGCTCCCCTACCACTCTGGATCTTGCATCATTTGTTGGCTTTCTGTTTTGGGCAGCACAGGTTGCTGGTAAGCAGACCCATCTCCAGGTAGAGGGGTCTGTTGTTTGTGCTAAGAAGGACCATTAACTTCTCCTCTCCTTGAGGGCTCCTCTTATTGACTGAGAACATTATAAGACTGCAATAAAATCTTTCTTCTAGCTGTTAGCATCCTCCATTCAGATGTGGGTGGACTTTCCAGGTGGCCTAGTGATAAAGAATTCCTTCTGCCAGTTCAGGAGAGGCAAGAGACATGGGTTTGATCCCACTGGATTGTGAAGACCCCCTGGAGAAGGAAATGGCAGCTCATTCCAGTATTCTTACCTGGAGAATCCTATGGACAGAGGACCCTGGCAAGTTTGGGGTCCTTGGGGTCCTTGACAGTCCGTGCGGTCACAAAGGAGTTGGACATGACTTAGTGATTAAATAACAGTTCAGATGTGGGCAGAGAGCTATGAAGGCGTAGAGCACTCAGGAGACAAATCAAGGTTGAGTCCACTTTTCTCTACTCACCTCCCTATATTAACCATTTAAGTTTTTTGTGTCAGTTTAAAAATTTTTAAAGCTCAGGTGTCATCTGTTAGTATCATTATTTCTTCAGGGATCTGAACATTCTAAGCTTTCAGGCGTTTGTGTGGTTTTCATCCCAGGTAGCCTGCCATTGCAGGAGAGGTAAGAGACACGAGTTTGATCCCTGGGTTGGGAAGATCCTCTGGAGGAGGGCATGGCAACCCACTCCAGTAGTTTTGCCTGGAGAATCCCTCGGACAGAGGAGTCTGGC